GCATTGTCCTGTTTATATTGCCCATAAATATGACGTTACCGGCCCTTGTTAATCATCTCTTCATTTCTATTTGTAACCAGCCAAGAGGACAAGAATAACCACCGTGGAGGAAAACAGGACAGGAAAATAATAACACCAAAACTAAATCATTTATTTACAGAAAACTATGAACTGAAGAAAACACGGTAGTATATAGTGGTTCAGACCTTATATACCGGTCTCTGGGGCGTGTCCAGTCACGGACATTCTGAAAGGTTCTCATACTTTCTCCATAGAGATCGCCCAGTTTGCAGGGGAGACTCAACAAACCATAGCTTACAGTAACATTAAGATCTTGAGACGCGTTTGTAGACTGTTGAACCGGGCCGTGTTCTGTTTTGTGCTTAGTCCAGCCGTCTTCCGTCACACATGATCTTCATAGTGTTGTATCCGTCCGTGATCCGTCTTAACTGGTGGTCGTGCAGTGTTCCGTCTTAACTGGTGGTCGTGCAGCGTTCCGTCTTAACTGGTGGTCGTACAGTATCAGCCGCTATCCCAACAAGCACTTAGCCACTCAGAGCAACTGGTGAGAGCTGAGGAGAAATAAGAAGTGGTGGTGATGGATGGTGGTGGTGGTGGCGGTGGTGAGAGATAATGTCATGGGTGGTAGCCGATGAGAGACGACCTGCATGTGGCAGGTACAAGGGTGAGAGACGACTTGTGGATAACAAGTACAAGGGAGCGAGACGGCTTGTGGATAACAGGTACAAGAGAGCGAGACGGCTTGTGGATAACAGGTCATATATATATATATATATATATATATATATATATATATATATATATCGAACAAGCCTGAATGGTCCCCAGGACAATATGCAACTGAAAACTCACACCCAGAAGTGACTCGAACCCATACTCCCAGGAGCAACGCAACTGGTATGTACAAGACGCCTTAATCCACTTGACCATCACGACCGGACATAATGAGGTGATAGCCGAGGTTATTTGAACCACCCCACCGCCGGATGGTCAAGTGGATTAAGGCGTCTTGTACATACCAGTTGCGTTGCTCCTGGGAGTATGGGTTCGAGTCACTTCTGGGGTGTGAGTTTTCAGTTGCATATTGTCCTGGGGACCATTCAGGCTTGTTCGCATTTGTGTTCCTCACGTGTGCCCCAAAGAATGAGGTGATTTGGTAAAATGCTATGCCCAAGATTACTATCCGAGTGCCGGCGGTGGGGTGGTTCAAATAGCCTCGGCTATCACCTCATTATGTCCGGTCGTGATGGTCAAGTGGATTAAGGCGTCTTGTACATACCAGTTGCGTTGCTCCTGGGAGTATTATATATATATATATATATATATATATATATATATATATATATATATATATATATATATATATATATATAACAAATACAACTCAGTGAAGAATATGGATATTTATTTATTTCATTATTATTTAAGGTGAGACCTGGGCGTCGCGCGCCAGAAAAAAAAAACATGCAAAGTGTTGACTTATCGTGACTGACAAAGTGGAAAGAGAGGAAATGTTTACAGTGAATAATTAATTGAACAAAGGGGGGGGCGGGGGCACGGATGGAAGCTTGAGACTCAGATGTGTCATGGAGATGTGAGAAAGTTTTCTTGTAGCGTAAGGTTAGTGGGTAAATGGCATGACCTAAAGGAGCAGGTTGTAGAGGATAACTTCATTCGTAACTTTAAAAGCAGGTATAATAGGGAGATAGGTTAGGAGTTATTGCATTAGACAGCCAGTGGCTAGAAAAGCGGGGTCCAAGAGATAGAGCTCGATCCTGCATGCACAAAAAGATGCGTACACACACACACACACATACACACACACACACACACACACACACACACACACACACACACACACACACACACACACACACACACACACACACACACACACACTCACACACACACACACACACACGAGCAAAGTTTGAGTGGTCCCCAATGAAGGATATCAATATAACTAATTTCCAGCATTCCTGAACCTTTGTCATTAGTTATAAGAACAATAACATCCAAGTTATTAGCCTATTACAAATGAACTCTTCTAAAATGAAATACAAATTAAAATATTTAAATTAAATATCTTACCAAATATATAACATAAATAAAAATATTTGCAAATCAGATAATTGTAATGGAAACGATCACCAAACACCAAGTGATGACTATAACTTTGACTGAGTAAACAACAGAGTCTCAGATATCCAGTTATTCAACTGATGCTTCAACTACAAGACGAAACTCGACATAAAGATAGCAAGGTGTTTGAAGGAGAAGATAAAATGAGGTGTGTAAAGGAGCCGCTCTCGGTGAGCGAGAGGTCCGCTCAGCAAGAGGAAGGGAATTATCAAGGCAAAGCCATTACGACTATATAGAACTTGGAACGGGTCAGGATAAGTATTTCGGATGGGACGGGGGGATGGAATGGTGCCCAACCACTTGAACGGACGGGGGATTGAACGTCGACCTGCATGAAACGAGACTATCGCTCTACCGTTCAACCTAAGTGGTTGGGGACCGCTCAGCCAGTATGACCCGGACTGCAGGAGAGGAAAGTGGTCTTCAAGATGATCAAGAGTAGTGAGAACTTCTCCAGACTGTCTTAAGACGTTCTCTCTTCACACCATCACTGACGCTCACCATCTGCTTATACACATCAATTTTTGTATGTGTTCTTTAGAACATAAAGATGTTATTGTCAGCTGAAGTGCACTCCAACACTGTATTGAGAACGAGGCGATCAGTGAGGGCGCAGTAACCACATTTGTTCCTCCATCGTGTGCGCGAGCTGTTGGCGATGAGTTGATATACTATATATACGGTCCTGCAGGCGATGAGTTGATATACTGAATATATCACTAATATTACACACACAACCAACGAGAGACGTGGATATATCGCCGCCATTTCCTTGGTGTCATGAGGCGGGGTTATATATAGTTGTTATTCCTGTGGTGTTGCGAGGAGCGGCCATACGTCCCTGTCATGGCGTGACGAAGGGTTAATGGTGCCAGGGGTTGACGCAGGCGCCAGTCAGTGTCGTCGGGTGGGGAGGAGCTAAATAAAAATGGTAATAACGCAGGTGTAGTCGTTGGCATAACGCGGGGCGGCGCTGGCGGGCGCAGGACGTCACCACCTTGCTTGCTGCGCCTCTACAAATAAACTGCCATTAATAGATAAAATTTATTGGGAATTAGACGATAACACCTCACCCTGACATATATATATATATATATATATATATATATATATATATATATATATATATATATATATATATATATATATATATATATATATACATATATATAGTGTTGAATATCACTGAAAGGGTAAGAGTAATAATTCTAACAAGAATCTTCTCAAAATTTCTTACGTTTTTCTTCACTGTCGACGGTAGCTGAAAAATTAACTCTCAAAAATTCATTTTTACATTTAGATTTTTGGTCTGACGCCCAAAAGCGCTTCGTAAGGGTTTCTTACATTCTCCAAGACATACACATAACAAATATCATGCTTATACGCGTTTTGGGTGAGGTGATATGACACAAATGTTCTGGGTGAGGTGGGCACATAAGAATGAAAGTAACTACATAAGGCCTATTGGCTCATACTTTCTCTTGCTGTTATGTTAGTTCGGGATCTTGAAGTAGGTAGAGTATAGTTGTGCATTAATTAGCTGTTGATTGCTGGTGTTGACTTTTTGATGTGTAGTGCCTCGCAGATGTCGAGTCTCCTGCTATGCTATATCTATCGATGATTTCTGTGTTTCTTATTGAGATTTCTCTGGCGATGGTCTGGTTGTGAGAAGAGATTATGTTCCTTGATGGAGCCCTATAGTTTGTGTATTGTTAATCGCCTAGAAAGAGACGTTGTTGTCTTGCCTATATACTGAGTTCTTGGGGGACTGACAGTCCCCCAAGCGGGCATGTGAAGGCATAGACGACGTTGGTTTCCTTCAAGGCGTTGTTTGGTGTCTGGGGAGAAAAATAACAACAATCTCTTTACATTGACGAAGGGCGCCGATATCTCGAGTACCTGTGGTTGACGCCCTCAGTGAGATTGACAGGTGTCAGGCTTCAGGTGTCGTTGACAGGTGTGTACTTCTGGTGAGGTTGACAGATGTGTGCTACAGGTGCTGTTGGTAAGTGTTACTTCTGGTGAGGTTGAGAGGTGTACTCACTTAGTTGTACTCGCCTAGTTGTGCTTGCGGGGGTTGAGCTTTGGCTCAACCAAAGCACCACTTAGGTGTGTGTGCTACAGGTGTTGTTGACAGGTGTGTACTTCTGCCAAGGTTGACAGGGTTGAGTTTTATCTCAACCAAAGCACCACCCAGGTGTGTGTGCTACAGGTGTTGTTGACAGGTGTGTACTTCTGGCGAGGTTGACAGGTGTGTACTTCTGGCGAGGTTGACAGGTGTGTATATATGTACAGCCCAACCTGCTACTGCTGCTGGTCGTCCATGACCCGGGGCTATAAGCAGTTGATTATATAAAAATAAAAAAAGGCACCACATTGTGGCCAAATAATCGTTACAAATGAACATTTATTAATTTAAAAGATGTTTGATGTAGATGGAAAACTGAGAAAGGCGCCAGTGATGGAAAACTTGTGTGATGCTCTGTAGTAGCTCTACCCTCCAACAAGCGCGGATCTTAACTACCGTGTACAACAACGTTGCTATCTTCCCCATTTACTAGTATGGACCAGAGGGCCCCAAGGTATAACTGGTGCTTTCTCACCTAGAGTCCTAGAGTGCCAGAGTACCGTTGGAATGAGGTTCACAGTGCCCCCTGCCCCTCACACTATAACTTTCCTGTGTTCTACCCCTGTTAACATAAACATGTGCGTCAAGGGGGGAAAGTTAGCCAGGGTTAACATTCTTTGCGGTGATGATGGTGGCGGGGCGCTGAAGGACGGGTTGTTTTATCTTGCTGAGGTTGTGCAAGAGGCGGTGGCGGGTCTCAGCGGCCGCA